CCCCGGAAGTCACCGGGGGATTCTCGCGAGTGCGTAATGACGAGGAAGTTTGGGCCTTCCCAGCACCACTCGCTCCAATATGGCTGCCCCCAGGGGAGGCGAAGGCCAACGTAAACTGCAGACCCCAAATCCCTCTTCGCATGGATCGCAGCGCGGAGTTCAGGAGATGGAAGGCGCAGAGTCTGAACAAGGCGGACCTCAGCCGGAAGGGCAGCGTGGACGAGGGTGTGGCTGAGCTTGTGCAGCTCCTGAATGCGCGAGAACAGTATTTTACCACCAGCTCCTGCGCTGGCCGCATCCTCCTCCTGGACGGGGTGAGCCTCCTGTGCGCCCTTCCCGCGCCGGCCTTGTGGGAACACCGGGAGCCCTGTGCCCACCCGAGGCGGCACCCCAGTGCGGCCTCTTTGTGCTTGCGCTGCGGGTGGGTGGTCTCGGCTTCTTTCTCTGTGAAACTTAGAGGGTGAGTTAGAGCAGGGCGTCCACAACGTTAACGCGCGTACTGATCGCCCGGAGCTCTTTCAGAGGACAGATTCTGAGTCTGTAGGTCTAGCGTGGGGCTCGATAGTCTGCATTTCTAACAAACCCCCAAATGATGCCGAAGCTGCTGGCCTGGCAGTGATCTGGAGTTGCAAGGACTGAAGAATGTACTTTCCTGAATACTGAGGGTATTTAAAGACTGCCCATCCTGGAGAAGCTGGCGGCGTCGAGCGCCCCACCGGACCCTAACCGCCTGACGGGCGTCGCCCGGTTCATGTGTGCACTGCCTCCTAGCGGCCTGCTCCATTATCACAGCTCCTGTCGTGTTGCCCTGAGGCTGAGCGAGGGCAGCAGCGGAGGGGGTTGTAACGCGGCTGTGGGACTTACTGGCTCGGTGACTTTAGGGAAGTTACCTAAATTCATGCCCTCCCTGTTTTATGAACTGAGGATAATGAAGAGTGTCAGCTCCGCAGGGATTCTGTGTTAGAGCAGCGATTTTCAACCCGTGTCCAGCCACAGGCACACGGTGCGCCGCAAGAATTTTTAAAACATGCAATACCTGACTGTTTAATACCTGACTGTTTCGTCAGGGGCTCTGACCTCTTTTCCTTTAGATTGTCAGATTAAAAAATGACAACAGCTGACACACCAATAGCCGTCCGGTGTGAATGAATCAAAATTATACCTGTTTGTTGTTGTTTTTTTCTGATTGGCAAAAAAAATATATTTTTTTGGTGTGCGGCAGAATTGTGGTAATTAGTTTATGTGTGCCATAAGATGAAAAAGGTTGAAAATGACTGGTATAGAGAAAATGGGATAATTTATTTAAAAATCGCCACTCGGGATTATTAATTTAAGAAAATCTACAATATGTTATGCATTGTACTTAATTTTTTTTGCAAATGTGTGATTAAATTAAATTATATTATTTTTCATTTTAGAATATAAATGGCTTTGAGGTTCAGAAACAAAACTGTTGCTGGCTGTTAGTTACGCACAAACCTTGTGTGAAAGATGATGTGGTAAGTTTTTACATATAAATTTAAAGAAATAAGCTTTTTAATTCTCAGTCACTTTAAATACAAACGAAAACAGAAAATTCAAGATGACTTATGTGCATAATTATAATGATTGAAGATTATTCATAAAGCCTAAAGAGAATTCATTGTAATGGCTTTTTTGAGTTGGAGATAAAAGTAAAAACATGTATGCAAGCATTACTACAGCTGCTCAACAGAACACATCCCCTTGGACATAGCAGCGAGTTCATGGACAGTGGACACATACTGTATCCAAAGATTTAATTTCATTTCTGCCATTTTATAACTGCAACCTGGTGCAAATTATAGAAGGAAAGGGGAGAAAGGCAGCCAGGAGTAAGGCATTAACACTATCTGTGTATTACCAGCATACTGCTGTAAATAAATTATACATTACTTACTTGGATTGCTTCTTGAAAATCTTTCTCTCTGTGCTGGATTATTTAGTTTCCTAAATTGAAATGTTTATAGATGATTTCACATAGATTCGTATTAGTCAAGCAGGTACATTACTGGTTCTGTTGCTCAAATGTTGTCTTCAGGGAACTCATCCAAGCTCCATCCCCTTCTCTGGGTACTAGTTCTCTGCATATTTGCCCTTATTCTCTTCTGCTACAGATTATCTTTGTGATAGGAAAGTTAGCTACCAACAACCCCAGCAGAAAAAGACATCTTATGAAGATCCATGTTTAATTCCCAAAGGACCCTGAACCATCCTGCTTGGGTTGGGTGTCTTCCCCTTGAGATCAGTTATTTTTGCCAGCAGACTGGAATGCTATCCTTGATTAGCCCTAGGCACTTAGCATTTCTGGTACTGTGATAGTGGGAGTGATGAGTATCAGGGTTATGATTAACATTCCATGAGAATGAGAGGGTGTGAAGGAGGAAGCATGCTGTCTGGGGATATTAGTCAGAGAGAAATAACAACTGCCTTATATAAATTCTAGCTTAGACATAATAGTACATGTGTCTCAAACCTCAGTCTAACAATGAAGTATTTAAACAGACCTCCTAATATAGTCTTTACATACCATTTCTTAATGAAAAATCTGTTTAGGAATTACATACAGTAGTAGTTTCCTTTTTAAAGATATGGTTGGAAAGAATGACCCAAAAGGTATATGGGAGAATTAGAAATTGGGTCTTTTAAAAGAATAAGCAGATTAATAAGTTTTTCGAGAAAGAGGACCATGAAGGCAGAGTGAAAAGTTATTTCGGGAAAAGGATGCTGAAGAAGTCTAAAAGTTCCTGGGAAAAACAAGTTACGTATGATAAAGGATCACCAAAGAAGAGGATCATATATTTGTGTCTGCTACTAACATTTTTTATTTATTTAGATTGTAGCTCTGAAAAAAGCAAATGGAGATGCCGTTTTGAAGTTTGAACCCCTTGTTCTTCATGTGCAGTGTCGACAATTGCAGGATGCACAGCTTCTGGTAAAACTTTATCATTGTACTTGAAGTTATAACTATATGGGTAGATTTAATTTTAAGCCTTAAAACTCCTACCAAAATTTAATGCAGTAGTTTTAATGCAAAATTTAATCAATAGTTTTTAATTTATAGGTTTGGGGTTATATATTTTTCTGCAGATTGTAGAGTTTAACAGTTTATCTGATTAGTCAGATTAGCAGAATTTAACAAATTTATTTTCTTACAGCATTCAGTGGCGATAGATTCTGGTTTCAGGAACTCTGGCATAACAGTGGGAAAGAGAGGAAAGACTATGTTGGTAAGATACCTTTTGGCCAAAAGTAATTCTTTGAGCATGAAGTGATCCAGATTATTGAAATAACTTAGACTTAGACTCCTGCCTTTAGTATCTCCTTACTCAGATCTTCTTGCCTTTTTTGCTCAGAAACCTTCAATGACTTATTCTTTCCTACAGGGCAAAGTCCAGAGATATTAGATGTACGTTTGAGGTCTTATTTTATAGTACTGTATTCTCTTCCACTTTTAACCTGATTCTCTGCCCTCCTCATCCTAAATAACCCCAATTTAATAAGCACCATGATGCCATGGAAAGAATAACAGATAGGGGAGTCTAAAGTCCTCTGCAGGAATACTGCATTGCCCCTGGCTATATGGACTTGGGCAAGCTCTTAAACCTCGGGGCCTGAATTTTCTCAGCCATATCAGGGGTCCAGCAAACTACTGCTCTAGGGACAAGTCCAGCCCACAGGGGCCAGATCCCAGTATACCCATTCGATTAATTACTGTCTAAGGCTGCTTTTGTGTTACCGTGATAAATTTGAATAGTTGTGACAATACAGTTGTGAAGTTGAAAATGTTCACTATCTGTCCTTCCACAGAAAAAGTTTGTTGGCCCCTGGACTGGATGATCTTTAAGGCTCCTTCTAAGCTCCACATCCTCTCTGTGTTTTTTCCTCGCCAAGCCAGCCCCTGGTCATTTTGCTCAATTCTGATTTGTTGTAGTATTTACTGATTGTATTTATTCTTTGGCATGGCACATATTGTTTGCTCTTGAACTAAGTTTAGATTGTCCTCCATTCTAGCTCCCTAGACTTTCCTGTTTTCTACCTGTTTTTAACAAATAGCCTATTTTGCAAATAGAAGTGGCTTACAAAAGAAGACACCTGTACAGCATGACTAAATAGGAAAGCAGAGCCCTTGGTACTGGTTTGTGTCATGTCCCCATCTCATTACCCACTGCATCTGGTGGCCCAGCAAGAACAGAGCCATTCTTCTACCTTCCCCTTTTTTGACTTCCATATTCAGTTAGTTACAAGTCTTGTCTCATCTGCCTCCCATTTCTCACACCTGAGTCTACCTCTTCAAGCCCTCTGTCACTTCCCCTACTTAAGCCCTCATCACCCCTCACCTCAGTCTGTACAGTGGTCTCCTGACTGGTCTTCCTGCTGTCCATCTTCTTCAGTCCCTGCAATCAGTACTGTCAGAATCCCCCTTTTGAACAAGTCAGGGTCTCCAGATATTTTCCCTGATATTCAAGGCCTTACCCAAACTATTTTCTATTTACCTTGTTTATGCTTATCTTCTGCTAGCATACTTACACTCCAGCCAGATAGAAAATGTGTCATTTTCCCAAATGTGTCACGCTCTGTCATGTCTCCATGACTATAGATAAGTTATTCCTCCCCCATTTTTACATCTGGTAAATTGCACATGTCCTTTAAAATCCTAACTGAAATGCCACCTTTCCCATGAAACTGAGGCCTGTCTCAGTCAATTAGTTGTACCTCTTCTACATTTCCTTAATGTTTTGTGCCTGTGTACACTTGAACGCACATGCACAAACGTGGTTGTGTTTCTCCTGTCATAGCATTATAATTTTTATATTATAATTAAAATTATAATTTTTGTTCACTTGTCTATTTCTTGTTCTAAAGTGTAAGCTCTTAAAGGGACAATGTTAAATTCATCCTATATCTTAACACGTTACGTAGGGCCTATATCGGAGATGCTCAGTAAAGTTTCATTGAATTAATTTTTATTCCTCATAATAGTTTTCGTTGTTCTTAATCCATATCCAGTGTTTGTATTTACTTGTAACATGTTAACTGTTTCATCAACAGGGTTAGTAAGATTGGCCCTAATGCGTCGAGAAATGGCTCCTTTGTGAGAGAGCAGGCATGGTTTATTCTTATACCCACACTCTGCTCAAGCAGCACTAAGGCTCTTTTGAATCCAGTCCATTTTGATTTTCCCTTGAAACTTCTGTTGAGATTTCATTTATTTCTTTTTTTTAAATAGTGTATTAAAGCTTTTCTGAGCTTTAGTGAAATTGAAATTGCTAAGTTACTGGATTTTTTGATATTGTCTGCTTCTCTGAAAGATAATGTGTAGAATGACTTTCTTTAGAAATGACTTTATATGATGGGAAAATCTATTTAATCTCCTTTGATCCAACTGTGTTTAGCTAAATTATATCAAAACACAAGTCTAAATGCTGTAATGGAGCTGAACTATGTTTAAACACAACCCTGACTTGGGAATTTCTTTAGTTACCTTCAGTGTCTCTAGCACATAAGTCATCATGTCTAAATTGTTTGTTTCTTGTAGGCTGTCCGGAGCACACATGGCTTGGAAGTTCCATTAAGCCATAAGGGAAAACTGATGGTGACAGAGGAATATATCGACTTCCTATTAAAGATAGCAAATCAAAAAATGGAGGAAAACAAGAAGAGAATTGAAAGGTACATTAATTGGATATTTTCATGTTATTTTTCTATGCCAAGATCATCTTTGAAAATATTAATACACACCATCTTCAGTTTATACTCCCAACTGCTTTTCTGTTTGTAGCCTTATCATGAATAATAAAAGATGGTCAAAGTAATAGATGAAAATAACCAGACTGTAATGGGTACTAAATGGAGCATAAGCTCCATGGAGGAGAATGGGACAAATGACTGCCAGCAACAGGCATAAAGGAGCAAAACATAATCACTCAGGTAGGAAAGTCCAGTAGCCACAGGCACCATAACTGATCAAATTGCAGGCGGCCACACACTGCCACCTGGTGTGATCTCCTGGAGACGGCCTAGAATCTCCTTTTAAGGAGAATTGACTGGTTAGTTTTTAGCCTGATAAATATTTTACACCCCTGGCGAGTTTAATACAAGTTTCTTATCATGGATTAGATCTAGAATTGCAGAATTGTCCTAGTAGTAAGGATTGTGGCTATTACTTCACATCTTTATATTTCTCCTGTTCTTAAATTTCACCCCAGGGTATATAAACTCTTACAGTGCTTTCTTCAACTTTTTTCTAAGAATAGTTCTTGATATAAAGAAGTGACTATTATTTTGCATTTCTTATATAAAGATAATACCATTGATCTACCATCAACAATATATACATTTCTGAGTTATTCAAGTGGTGTTCGCCAACTTGATATCATTTATAATTTCTTTTTTCCCTTCTCCCCACCCCCTTGGCCGCCTCTTAACCAGTCAGTCTCTGCCCAAGTAACTCTTTTTTTTTTTTTAAATATATCTTTATTGATTTCAGAGAGAGGAAAGGAGGGGGAGAGAGATAGAAACATCAATGATGAGGGAGTCATTGATCGAGCCCGCAACCCGGGCATGTGCCCTGACCGGGAATCGAACCCCGATCGCCCTGGATCCCAGGTCGGCGCTCAGCTGCTGAGCCACGCCCGGCCGGGCCCAAGTAACTCTTAAATCATTCTTCTCTCCCCATCCTTACTGCCACTTTCTTCATTCAAGACCATTGCAATACTAGCTTGTCTCATCGTAGAATGCTTCTAGTGTGTCTGTCTGCTAAGCCATTCTCCATATCATCATCAGAATCCTGGCTGTAAAATGCAAAGGAATCCTATTACTTAACTTGCCTGCTTAAAATTCTTTAATACCTAGAATTTTTTTGAAGCAGCTGAGACCAGACGTGCCAATGGCAGTAGTGTTGTGTGGTCGAAAGAGGTAGATCTAGGCTCTGGAGCTAGAACTGAGTTGAAATCCAGATTCTACTACAACTTACTCAACTCCCTTAGCTTAATTTTTCTTATATCTAACTAGGGCAAAATACTTATCTTAAAGAACAATTTTGGTATACATTCACTAGCATATGTATAATGATTAGCTCTGGCCCTGTTATGGCTTCTCAGGGTGGAACAGCCCCTTTCCTTCAGTGATGCTTATAGAGAATAAACCAGCAGGCACACCAGTATCAGCATGGTTTCTCAACCAGGGCTCTGCATCTGAACAACAGGATTCACAAAATTATTCAAGTGACTATTTTTCAGGCTTCCCAACAATGGTATATAACTTGTACCATTCTAGATACACTGAAGAGAAGTTAATTTACTACGTAGAATGGATGTCTTAGGGCATTAGGGCTTAATATTCTGGCAGCCCGGCTGGGTGTGGCTCAGCAGTTGAGTGTCGACCTAGGATCCAGGCGATTGGGGTTCGATTCCTGGTCAGGGCACATGCCCTGGTTGTGGGCTCGATCAATGACTCTCTCATCATTGATATTTCTCTCTCTCTCTCTCTCTTCCTCTCCTTTCCTCTCTCTAAAATCAATAAAGATATATTTAAAAAAAAAAAAAATTCTGGCAGAACTGTGGTTGAAAAAAGCCAAGAGGTTATCTGGCCACAATGTGCTTCGAACAAACGTTCTAAATAAAGTGATGATTTCAAGTAAGCAACTGAAGAGCACCCAGCCACTCTACCAGACTCAAGAGTTTGAACTCTATGTAGGTACTTATTGGTACCATTCCAAAAGTTTACCACATTAATAGTATTTCAGTGAGGTTGTTTGCTAGGATATAGGAGGTAGCAAATCCATTTTTCTGTTTCCTTACTTGAATTTCAACAAGATTATAAATATAGCCCAAGATCAAGTAACTGTACACCTGGTGAAGTTAATTGAGCCACGTTCACCAACTATGAAATCAAATTATGCTTTAAATCCATAGACTAAGAGATGTGTTTTGAGATTATAGTGTGCATGCTGCTATCAAGAGAGCCATGCTCATCATATAAAATCAGTGAAAAATTAAAGAAGGGTAAAAAGTGTCTTAAGATACTGATTAGAAGATTACATGTGAATTCAGAAAGGCTGTACAAATTAGGGAGCTCCTTTGGGAGCAGCTGTACTTTCAGCCAAACGCAGAGAAAGAGTTACTCTTCTGATGTTGAAAAGAGAAAAAAATAATAAATACTGGAGGTGATGAGTTCTGCAATCAGACATTGAGTACTAAAATTGGTTTGTCATAGGACCAAAGTTTCACAATTAAACTAGCTATATGAAGAATTTTTAAAAGTCAAGATCCAAATGAGTAACATTTCATCAGCAAGAAGTTTTTTGCAAATGTGAAAAATCAAAGTCAAAGGGTAATACGTGTTTTCAATAGAAACAAGGTCTTGTTTGTGAAAACCAACTCCCAAGCCCCTTCTTAGTGGGAAGAGTAAGATAATTTTGTATATAATGATTTCTAGGTGAAAAATGTGAAGTTTGGAGGTCTACTTACCAACTGCGAGAGGAAGGCTGTCTTTGATTCTATTTATAAGAGATCAGAACTTACTGGGTCAGATGAAACCACCATTTGGCTATGAGTACAATGAAAGTAGCCATGTTCTTTTCACCAACTGTGTAATAAGAAAATAAATGTTAAAGTATAGAATGAAAGGGCTGACTATATTAGCATATAATATTGCTGATAAAAATGAAGCAAATTGGAGAGAAAAAGTAAATGAATCTATTTCCTGCGGTTCAACCTTTTTGTTGTTGTTCTTATTATTAGTTTACTTTTCTGTGGTTAAGTATACATAACAAAATTTGCTATTTTAACCATTTTTAAGTGTACAGTTCAGTGACATTGAGTACATTCACATTGTTATGTAACCACCACCACCACCCAGTCCAGCTCCAGAGCCTTTGCATCATCCCAAATTGAAACTGTACCTGTCAGACAGTAATCCCCCATTCCCCAAATCGCAGCCCCTAGTAACTGCTATTCTGTTTTTACTCTCTGAATTTGACAATTCGAGTTTCCTCATAAAAGTGGGATCATGCAATATTTTTCCTTTCATGTCTTGTTTATTTCACTTAGCATAATGTCTTCAGGGTTCACCCATGTTGTAGCATGTATCAGAATTTTGTTTCTTTTTATAGCTAAATAATATTCCATTATATTTATATGCCACATTATGTTTATCCATTCATCTGTCAGTGGCCGTTTGGATTTTTTTCCACCTTTCAGCTATTGTGAATAATACTGCAGTGAACATGGGTGTACAGATATCTGTCTGAGTCCTTGTTATCAATTCTTTTGGTGTATACCCAGAAGTGGAAGTGCTGGATCACATGGTAACTCTACATTTAATTTTTTTAAGAACTGCCATACTGTTTTCCACAGGAACTGCACCATTTTACATTCCCACCAGCAATGAGCAAGGGTTCCCTTTTCTCAATATCCTTGCCAACACTTGTTGTCTTTTGTTTTTTTGTGGCTTTTCCTTTTTAATAATAGCCATTCTTGCAGGTGTGAGGTGATATCTCATTTTGGTTTTGATTTGTATTTCTCTGATGATTAGTGACATTGAGCTTTCTTTCATATACCAGTTGATAAGAATTTCTGTTATATCACTGCTGCTTATCTTCCTTCTGGATTTCTTACTATTCTGTCGGTTAAATGTTGTTGTCCAGGATTCTGTCCCTGGCCCAGAGCTTCAGCTACTTCCCCATATACTTGTAGGTCTTCCAAATCTCTCCCCAGTCATGGGCTTATATATCCAATAACCTATTGAACATATGTAACTAAAATATCCCATCATTCTTTCCTTAATATCTTTCTTAGCGTAGTCTCAACCGCGTAGCCATTTCCTTGGTTCAGATTCCTATTAGCTTTTACCGGCATCGTTACAGTTTATGCCTCAGTGCAATACAAAAATATGAATCATAGTGACTTGCAATTATTTAATTGCATGTATATCTTTTTTTCCACTACAGTGTGGTCACCAACTACACACACAAACACACACATACACATACACATTCACTTTAAATTCTCTTATCCTATATCTTATCCTAAAACCTTACATAGTGTCTGGCTCGTAGTAGAAACCCAGTAAGTGTTTATAGAATTAATCATAGTAAAGAAACTTAAAAGTTAACACATATTGAGTTCCCCAAAGTAAAAAAATAATCATTATTTTCTGTGTCTTATACAAGAATAGTGATTAATAAATGTGCTAAATTTAGTTAACTGACTTTTTCCATCTCTATGCTACTTTTAAGTCTTCAAAGCCTTAGGATGATCATTCTGGAACACATGAAAGATGGCTTAGACATGGGGCAAGCAGGAGTAGGCTCTGGCTACATAGTCCAGGTGAAAAGTAACAGGACCCTGAGTAACAAGATGAATGGGGGCGATCCTGCAGAGCATCAGCTGAAATGGCAACAGATTAGAAATGGTAGAGAAGGTGGAGTCAAGGGTGACAGATGTCGTAGACGCCTCAGAGTTGCTAGTTTTGATTTTAAAATTGGAACTGAAGCAGGTAAATAAATAACTTGCACATTTCCCTATATACATAAGATCAAAAAGGTAAATAATGTAAAGTGAAAATACATATTTTATATTCTGATAATCCTTCTCTGGATATCCCCTCTCCTTGATTTTTCCTCTCATAATTCCTCTCCCTTCAACCAGCCAGCTTTCCATTCATCCTTGCAATTCAGCCTAGGCATTGGGTTTTTCCTAAAGAGCTTTTTATGATCCCACTTGGAGCAAAGTGCCGCTGTGTGCTCCCACTTTGTCTTATCTTTCTCATGGCATGTTGAATGTGTCCTTACAGCTCTGTAACTCCCATTAGACCCTGAGCTCCTTGAGGGCACAGACATGTCTTTTACCTGTGTTTTCAGCACCTGAGACAGGCCACCACATACATGTTTTTAAATAAAAACACTAGAGCTTAGTTAAAATCTAAATGCATAATATATGAAAATAGCCCTCTTGGTTATTTGTAAATAATGGAAGCCTAAAAGTGTATGAAATTGTGCCTAGATTTCATTAACTTTTCCTTCGTATTTCAGAAGTCAAATATCAGCTTTTTATTGAAAGTGGTTCTATAACTGACTTGAAAAACGAGAATTCATTTTCACAGCGCTGGCCTAAAAAGTTCTCGCATGAGGAGAACTGAGTACAAGTTGCCCCATGGCGTGATAATCTTGACTGCAGAGGTAGAAAAACTGAAGACAATTTGATTTTCTTTTGAGGGGAGAAAAGAAACATTTGCCCGAGTGTACATTTCTTTTTATATTCCAAGCTGTTTTTGTTGCCTGTGAGAGCTGAGAAAATTGCACTGTGAGAATTAGACTTTAGAATGCTGTGTAAGGGGCCATAGAATGAGGGGGGGGACATGCAATTGGACAACAAATTTCTGACTTAATGTGTGAGATAGTTTCCCAAAGGACTTTTTACAAGTTCCCTTAAAACAGGAAAAGGAGAAAGTATTTGAAGTTTCTATTCTTGGCTTTTAGCACAAAAGGGTCCTTGTTACACTTACCAGTTGTTTTGTGGCACCCCAAGGATACCCCAAGGATACCACAAAACAACTAGCTTTTGAATTCTTAGGTTCTTTAGTGGAAGATTAAAGTAAGGAGCCTCTCCCACTTTAGTTACCTTTTTTATGTGTGTTTAACAAGATATGTTGCATGAACTGTTAATTCTCTGTGATCATGGAAGAGCAATTATCTATAATTTTCTAGGAGCAGAGTATGATCCAGGAAAAAAAAACTTGACTACCTGAGTCTAACGTGCAGGGTTGGGTGGAGAACGATAGAAGATGAAGTTGCACATCATGGTTAGCCTCTTACGATCAACAAGGGCGGCTCGCACCATTTTGTGGCATGCTTGGGTTTATGTTTTAGATAAAATGAGTCATTCTGTTGGGTCATTTTATTAAGCTATTCTAAGTAGGCAGTTTGGAAGATGAGAAGAAAACTAGCCATTGAAGTCACCAGGGATGATGGTAAGACCAAGAGAGAGATCAAACCAAGTGTAGAACTTTTCGTTAATAAAAGGGACTGAACAGAATTTTGGTAGATGACATGAGGGGCTGATGCAGGAGGTTAGTCTGGCAGAGTCTTGGTGAGCCAGCTGAATTCTGACCTCATGTCTCCACTCTGTGGTAGGTGGGATATGAAAGAATAAACCGTCTCCACTTGAGAGGAATGCAGGGCAGATGGTGCCTTTGTCAAGAACCAAGTTTTAGTTAAGGATGTACAGGGTACATTAAATGAAGAGGTTGTTACCATGGAACAAGGTCTAAAAAATGTATGTCGGTTAATATTTTTAAAAGCCTTTTGCTTATACCTCTTACAGTACAGTTTTTCCTTTTATTATACCTCCCTTATTGAGATTGATTATTCTTTGAAAAAATATCTATGAGCACCTATTATATGCCAAGCATGGTGCTGGATATCAAGGTGTAGAGTGGTGAGTACTTTAAGTTCTTCAAATATGGACAGGATGTGTAGTAATGATGTTAGGTACATATTAGAATTGTGTGGAGTATTTGGGAATAGGTATCTTTTTTTTTTTAGGGAAACTTTAGAGTCTTGGCAAGTAGAAGAACTAAGCCTGTTTGTTGAATTAAAGAAAGAAGAAAATTGATCCAAATAGCACTCTATTCTGTAGATGTCAAAAATTTCCTGCCATAGTCTACCATTATAATAGGATATATAAGCATGACAAGATCCCTACAATGGATCTCTCGTTTTCGATGAGAACAAGGGAGTTCTCAACCTTTAGATCATTCTGATTTGGGACCTAGGCTAATAATTTTTTAAATGTTACCTTTTTTGCTCAGTAGTTATTTATTCACTTATTTGGCATATTTTTACCGAGCGTGTCACATTGTACTGCATACTAATATAACAAAACAAGATAGATGGGGTCCTTGGTCTCATGGAGTTTCCAATCTGTAAAAATAGTCATTACAGAGAACTTATTCTGTGCCAGGCTCTGTGCTAGGTACTTACATACATCACCTATACCCTCTGACAACCCTGCTAGGTACAGGATAATACCCAATTGTATAAATGAAGACAGCAGGGTCAGGGAGGTTGGAATCAGCCAACCTCAGCATTCCCAGCACAATGCTTGTGTGAAAACACATGCCACACACTGTGCCACCCTGATGCCTCCCACATATGCTGAAGGCCACTGTAAGGCGGAGAGCTGTTGGTGTTAATGTGAGCTTAGAAAAGAAATTAAGCCAAATTTTCAGAGAGAAAACAGTTAATCGTGTCACAAAATTAACACTAAAACTCCAGTGGAAAAATGAGGAAAGGAAAAGAACAATTCATATTTTTTAAAAGTTTCAAATAGCTAATGCAAAACATTCGATTTCACTCACCAATAAAGAAATGAAATTGAAATAATGAGATACCATTGTCACCTCTCCAAGTAAAGCTTGTTTTTTGATGGTAATACTCAATATATGGTTGAAGTGATCTCTCAGGTATTGCTGTTAGAAGCATATGTTAAACATCCATTTTGGAAAACAATACTTCTCAAGAACTTTAAAATGTTCATACCTTTTAACCATGTAATCACATTTCTAGGAGTCTGTCCTAAAGAAAGAGCTAGAAATTCGGATCGTGTTATTTTCAACACTGTCATTGTTTGTATTAGGGAAAATTTGAAAATAAATTAAGGCCAATATAGATGATATAGTATTATACTACCATTAAAAAGTGTTATTTTGTAGTTCATCTGATGATACAGAAAATGTTGTCAAGAAACATTAAATTAGAAAAATCAGTGTAAAACTTTATATGTAATATCACAATTGTGTAAAAGAGAGTAGTTATATGTGTGCATGTATAAATACATTAATTCAGAATACATTAATAAACTGGAAAGAATAAAAATATTGAGAGTGGCAATTGCTAGGTAGTTATATAGAGGATCTGTATTTGTAACTTCATGTATTTTCCATATTCTCTAAAATGAGCTGCTATTACATGTTTGATTGTTTTAATAAAGAAATTTTTTTTACCTCCTGTGTTTGATACCTATATGTGGAATAGAAATTGAGATAGAATAGAAATTGTCAAGAGATGATTTCAACCCAATTTTCTAGACTGTTCTTAAAGAGCTGAAAATACATTCCTTTTTCTAATTAAACAATAATAAAAGCAAGATGCTTTTAATGTATTTCATATTTTAAGGTTAGCATGGAACATCAAATTTATATAATTTATAAGTTCTAGGTATACTTCAGTCATTCGTTTCAGAACACACTGATATAACAGTAGTGCTTATTTCTTTACAGGTTTTACAGCTGCCTACAATGTGCTTTGGAAAGGGAAACTATTACTGACTTACATCCCAAAGAGAAAATCATCGTGAAAAATAATTCATATTCTCATAAGAAAAAAAGAAACCGAGAAAAAGCAAGTGGCAAATGTGTTACTGAAGAAAATGATAAAAAACTTGAAAGTGATGATGATCCAGGAATCAATGTTACTCTCTTCCCTGAAGATTACTAAGATTTGGTTCTAAAGTGTCTTTGGTAGAATATGTTTCTAATAATTATTATAAAGCTGCTCTTTATAAGAGTGTTTTAGTTCATTGAGTATATCAGACATTCAGAAAAGCAAGGTTTAATTTTTTTTTTAATTTTTAAATTTTATTTTTGTTTAAAATATTACAGATGCTCCTTTTTCTCCCCAATGACCCGTATTTTAGAGACACCCATCTTATAAACATAGATGCCTTTTTAAAGTAGCTGTGTGTGATGTTTGCTCATTAAGTACCATCTTTTAAATCACGGAAATTCATTACAAAAATAAAATTACAATTTTTAATGCATCTCTTTTTTTTAAGTTTTAATTTCTACTTCTGCAAAACAGAACTATCATACTCTTTCAAGAGAAACTGAACTTTAGGAATACTTGAATAAAAGTCATAGCAACATTTTACTTAGGTTTAATTTTGAAATCTGCAGCCTTAACAGTACTTCAGCGTTTGCCTGCTGCCATGGAGTCCAATGACAAGATTTTCCCTCTTTTGACTTTGTGAATAAAACGACTGATAACCCTTTTTGTTCAGAACAAAATAATCTGAACCGTTTTTCCCCTTTATTTCTCACAAACCAGTCTCCATAAAACAGTGAGCATGATTTTTCACTAAGCCTGTTCAGAAATGATAACTTAAGACGCATTTTTAAAAAATTCAACCTAATTGTTAAAAGCATTACAGATGTCCCCTTTTCTCCCCCCATTGACCCCCTCCACCCCACACCCACCCCATCCTCAGGCGCTTCCCACACCATTGTCAAGACACAGGCATCTTAATGGAGCAAGTGTGCTGTGGAAAATTGCCAGGAATCAGAAGCCTTGGGTTTGAGTTCTGACTACTGCATAGAAGCTGGAGGTCCTTGAGCAAATCGCTTCATTTCCTAGGGCTTCCATTCCTTCTATACAATAGTTATTGTAATACCTGGAGTCGAGGAACCTTGATTTTTTTAAACAACTCATCCAAGTGATTCTGATAAAATTAGGCTAGTACTTTTAGAATCCACTGGTAACAGACTTAATCCTGGAGGCACTGAAGAGGAATTAAAGATTTTTTAGTAAAAAAAAAGTAACATGACTAGATGTTGCAGTGTACCTATGCCACGTACTGTGTGCATTCACATAGAAGGCTAAGCAGGGGCTTCCAGAAAATTAAGTCACTGTCCTTATTCTTTTGTCTGAGGCAGCTGCTAGGAGGATTGGCAACCGGTACAGCTGTGTACGTTGAACTCTGCACAACTCCAGGAGGGGACATTGTCCACATATGACAGTATGAATGACGCCCGTGAACTTATGCAGTGCACATTCCTATACACTAACATATACAGCAGTCCTGCCAGAAGGAAATTTGGCGAGGAAAGAAATCTTACAGTCGTAGAATGTCTGGAACATTTCTTCTAATTTAATGAATAGGCTATGGAAAACCTGCAACGCAGGTAGATCGAAAGAGGAGAGAAATAATTTAAAAATAAGTCCTACATACATAGGAACTGTAGGAAAAGCATTGGGGTGGGGGTGGGGAATGACTATGCATTGTGCTGTTTAGAAATATCTCTAATGGGCTCAAATGCACTGACACTTCACTCATTTAAACTGATCCCCGAGGGACCTATGTATTCCAAAGTTCTATACCCTGAGTATATGCATGAGAATCTGGAGGAGAGGAGCTGCCTCCTAATTCCTTTATTTATATGTTCAAGCCACATGCCTGATCAAAAATATTAAAAACTGCAAGTGAGCAATTTAGTAATAATTTAATATGTAAGATCACTTATTGAGAAATACTGAGTGGTTTATTTTCATTGTTGTTGATCTCCCCAAAATAAAAGATTTTTTTTTCTTCCCCTAGGACAAAGGCAAGTATTTTTATTCCTAAGGCCTGGATTCTCCATTTCTCCACATCACCTACGAATTAACTATAGTTGAGTTGAACAATGCAAGAGTTAGAGGCACCAACCCCTTGCACAGTTGAAAATTTGAATATAACTTCTGATTTCCCCAAAACTTAAATGCTAATAGTCTACGGTTGACTGGAAACCTTACCAATAAACAGTAGATTAACACATATTTTTTATGCTATATGTATTATATACTGTATTCTTATCATAAAGTAAACTAGAGAAAAGAAAATGTTACTGAGAAAATTATTAAGAGAAAATACATTTACACTATTGAAAAAAATCCACATATAAGTGGATCCCTGTTTTTCAAGGGTGAATTGTACTTTCGTGTTCTAGAAGAGAAAATAAAATGTCCATTTGTTGAGAAATAGAGAGGGAAACTAAGAAACATGCTTTTGTTTTTGAAATTCTGAGCCAAGGTCATAAACTAGTGGCCAAGGTATGGCCAAGCAGATGTGTTTTGTTTGGCCCACACATAGGATATTTTTCCTAATTGAGTCAATATTTTAAAATACAATGATTTCATTTGTTTTAAAGTACATCTCTAGTTTTTCTTTAAAAATTGGAAGATCTGGCTACACTAGGCCCACATGACAACACTTGGCAGAGCCAAGCACTGGCTGCCCCTTTGGGCAAAGCTTGTTTTCCTGCTCACCGCAGTCGCAGCACCCCCTCCTGGCTCCCTGACTTACCTGCTGCAATCATTCCATCCTCGATGCCTGATCCTGTGGGCACCCGCGTTAGCAACCCCTGGTTAGAACTTTCGAGAGAACTAAACTGTATCATGACATTAGTATATTATACAATAAGTAAGAGATTTAAACAGGACTGGCTACATAATTTGCAAAGGCCAGTTCAAAATAAAATTGTGGGACCCCTTTTTTAAAAATTGCTAAAGAATTACAAAATGGCAACAATGGAGCATTAAGTCAAGTGGGGGCACTTCTAAGCGTGGGCCTGTGCAACTACGCAGGTTATACACCCACGAAGCCGGCCCTGGATTGGAGGCTCGGTTCTTCAAGAAGAAGGGACTGGGTGCCAGGGTGTTTCACCCTCCTGCCCCCATTAGGAAAGAAGCAGGGTGCTGCAGGTTCTGTGATGTGCCTGGGCTTGGTCCTTGCTCTCACACGCAAAGTCCCTGAGGTGGCAGGACCACGGGTAGCTGTTCAGGAGCCTGCAAGGACTGAGTACTCATCACTAATGTTTGGAAGCGAAGTCAAAGGTCTCAGTGGTTAAACTGAGAAGACGTGAAATTAAGTCGTCTTCAGAGCCACCTGATTTCAAACAAGAACAAAGGCAGTGATGACCACCACTGAAAAGGGTTTTGAAAAGGGTTTTCCCCATTTTGACAAGAGTTAAGTTCCTGGGTTAAGTGTTGGAGAACCTTGAGAAAAGACTGCAGTCATCCTTCTATGGGTGGGGCTATGAACGGGCTTTAATTTGGATGGGGGTGGGAGAATAAATCTAACACTGCCGTATAAAGCATATTATAAGGAATATTTTTTTGGTTAGGATTTTTGGCCTTTAAAAATGGCTTTTGACCCTCAGGCCTCTACTTTCTCTGCTCTAATGTACTGCTCTAAACGCACAAGCTTATCTCAATGAAAAATAATTTTAGTACCCATAAATGCTTATGTTCTTAAGCTCAACAGTTTAATGTCCTGGATTTTATTCACTTGGTTCTTGCTAAGCGTTTATTTCTCAGACCTTTTTCTTTTTAAATTTTAACTTTAACCCATTGTACATGTTACATTGTACATTTATTTAATAGATTGTTTTAGAGCAATTTTAGGTTTACAAAAAAATTGAAAAGTACAGAGTTCCCATATACCCTCAAAGGTTTATTATGTATGATGTATCATCTGCAAATAGTGACAGTTTTACTTTTTCCTTCCCAATTTGAATGCCTTTTCTTTCTTTTTCTTGTCTAATTGCTCTGGCTAGGTCTTCCAATACTATGTTGAATTAAAGTGGTGAGAATGGACATCCTTGTCTTGTTCCTGATCTTAGAGGAAAATATTTTGACTTTTCACCACTGGCCATGATGTAAGCTATGAGCTTGTCATAAATGACCTTGATTATGTTGAGGGTCCCCTCTATACCCACTTTGTTGAGAGTTTTTATTATATATGGGTGTTGAATTTTGTCAAATGCTTTTTTTCTGTATTTATTGAGATGATCATATGATCTTTATTTATCCTTCATTTTGTTTATGTGATGTCTCATGTTGATTGAATTGCAGATGCTGAATCATTCTTGTGTCCCTGGAATAAATTCCACTTAATCATGGTGTGTGATCCTTTTTGAACTATTACAATTCATCAATGCATTGTATGTGTGAGAGCTCAAGATCATTATCTAATTTATTGTTTTACAAACGAATGACAAAACTCCCAATCAAATTCTATTACTATTCACTTCTTGGAAAACTATTTATAATATAGTCAATAAAATTAGTAGTGAAAAAAATAAGTTCAGGGGGCACTGTGTGCACAATATCATACTTTATATCTGACAAACTATCCAAACTTCCAGAGCTGGCATTCTAAGGCTGCAAAATATACTTTGTGATTAAAGGAGATAAGTTCTGTTTTTCTACAGCAGGCTTTTTAAAAAAACTTCTTATTTTGAAATAATTTCAAATCTACAGAGAAGTAATTATATATGTGTATAAATATTTTTTCTGAAAATGTTAGAGATACTATGCCTCTTTATTCTTAAATATGTCAATGTATATTCCTTTAGAACAAGATCAGTCTAAGCACAATTACAAAAATCAGGAAATTCAACATTTATATAACACAATTATACAATCTACAAGTCATAATCAAATTTTGTCTATTTTCCCAGTGATATTCTGTTTAGCAATTTGTTTTTCTGGTCCAGGATCCATCTTAGGAATTGGATTTAGTTTTCATGTTTCTTTAATCTCATTTAATCATTAATAATGTTAATAAGCCTTTATTTTTCATAACTGACATTTTGAGGAATACACGAAGAGATTTGTTTTTTTAAATAGCGATCAACTTCTATTTTTCTTGCATTTATTCATAATTAGATTCAGGTTATGCATTTTTGTCAAGAACACGACATAAGTGACGTGTTCTTGTCAATGTATCAGTTCAGGAGGCACATGACTTCAGTTCACCCCATTACTGGTGACATTAACTTTATTAGTCGGTTCATGTGGTATCTGCCAGGTTTCTTCACTCTAAAGGCAATATTTTTTCCCTTTTGTATTAATAACAAATTTTTAGGATGCTATACTTTGAGAATATGTAAATAACCTGTTCCTCATCAAAACTTTATCCACTAGTTTTAGCATCTAGTCACAATTTTCATTGGAATCAGCTGTTACTGTGATGACCATGCTTGCAAACTAGTAATTGGCTGT